CTCTTGCCAACAACTCTGAATTTTTTAGAACTTTATTCTTTTAGTTGACATGAGGGGGTTTTGGGTGGGTTATTTAGTTTTTTGGTTTTTTGGGTTTTTTTTTTTTTTTGAGAAAGTCAATAGCTTGATACTGGTACAAGTAAAGAAAAATAAGAGAAGTACCACAAAAAAAAAAAAAAAAAAAAAAAAAAGGCATGCAATTTTTAACTGGTGTTGTGGTTTAACCCTGGCCAGCAACTAAGCCGCCCCCAGCCTTTTGGTTACTCACTACCTCCCTGGTAGATGGAGGAGAGAACCTGAWGGGTAAAAATGATAAAASCTGTGGGYTGAGATAAAGACAGTCCAATAGTAAAACAAAGTTRCATGTGTAGAAAAGCAAAACAAGGAATGAATTCACCGCTTTCTATCAGCAGACAGGTGTTCAGCCATCTCCAGGAAAGCAGGGATCCATCAGGCATCACAGTGGCTTAGGAAGACAAATGCCCTAATGCCAAATGTCTCCCAAGGTGTGCTGCATGCTGATTAACAGMTGAACAGCAGTCACAGCTATCAACTTGACCTAGCCCATTCCAAACAAATTTGTCATCATCATAGCAAACGCATCAGCAAGAAGATCYAGTGTCCAGTGAGAGAGAGACGTTCTTAAGTTGCTCAGGGAGTTGTCCAGAAGACTGTTGAAACTCTGACTCCAGAATGCTGTATCCTTCCTCCTGCAGAAGGATTTGGGATGGCTTTGAGAGTAAACTGAGCAGGGGGTAGGGGCAAGGCTGGTTACAGAGCCTTATGAACTGTGGTATGCAAATCTGATCTCCATTAATCAGAATGAGAGATCCTGAYCTATTTGAATGGAAACTGCCATAGAAGATGAGAGGTATTTTTGCTCCTGGCTGGAGACCTGACCAGTCTAGAGGAAAGCTAAAGAAGCACAGTAAGTGGAACTCACAAAGGACATGTCCTGAACACCATGGACACCAGTGGCTGTGGCTGAACTAAGACATATCTTTGTTGTTGTCTCTGAAACTGTGACTTGCCCTAAAGAATGTAACACACCGAGGGAGAGCCAGGCAGAGCTGCGGTTTTGCGGATGGTCTGCAAGTGAAGAAGCTCTGAGCATGAAGGTTTGCAGGGGCAGGTGCTCAGAGCTGCTGAGCTGCTGCAGAGAGGAGACAGAGCTGAGCACGTCTTGCAGGCACGCAGCAGAGGTGAGCTGTGGAAACTCAGATACCAGGACAGCTGCATGTATCAGCTAAAGTCTACATGATTTTCTGCCTTTGAGTACTTAGGTTAGCATAAGAAATGAGCAGAATTTTTATTTTAGTTCTGAATTGTTTATTATCTCTGAGTGTGTTCACACTGTGTGTCAGCTCTGCARAATGCAGCCTCTGCTGTGACCAAACAGCAAGATGTGACAACAGATGGACAGAACMGACTTGGGTCTGTAAATGAAAAAGGAGCAGTTTCATGGTGTTGTGCCAGCAGAATCCTTGTCTGCATCCTRTGCTGGTGTCCTGCAGAAACCACCCCAGGCAAGGATTGACACCAGTTTATCGGCTGCACCAGGAAAGGGTGARGGGCAGCAAGGCAGTGGTAGAAGAGCTGCACAGCACAGGGAGTGCAGTGACACAGCATTTCCTCTGAGATACAAAGCTGGATAACTACTGTCTATGTCAGTGTCCTGAGACTGAAAAGTAGGATTTTTTAACTACTGATGTTAAGATGAAGGGCTGGACCTGACTCCTTCAGAAACTGATTTGGATGTGAAATGAGGCTGACAAAGCTTTAACTGCAGTCAGGCCTTGGCAAAACCAGTGAATGAACAACAAAGATCTAGGTCGTGCTCCAGCTTGGACTTCTCTGGTGTCTACCTTCTTCTCCTCCCTGAACTTGAAATGTAAAGTGGCAGCCCTAGACAGGTATTCTTCCATGGTTCAGAGGCTTAGCAATGGCAGTGTGTTATCAAATGAACAATTAAAATCAAGGGTTCCCTTGTGGAGAACCCACAGCAACGTTAGGATCTGAGATCCTCTCACTCTTCACTGGCTCTCTGTTCCATTACCAAGTGGTTGCTGCATGGTCACCTTCACATCCTCTTAGGTTGGTGTCAGTGAGGACTTGGGTCCGTCCCAAAGTCCTTGTTGTAATACAGTTGCTCCAGTTCATATAACAGAATCACAGAATYATGAAGGYTGGWAAAGACCTCCAAGATCTTTGAGTCCAACCTTTGRCTGATCACCACCRTGTCAGCTACACCATAGCAYTGAAGGYCATGCCAGTTGCTTCTYCAAMACCTCCAGGGACAGTAACTCCACACCTCCCTAGCCACCCCATTCCAATGTCTAATCACCCTTTCTGTGAAGAAATTCTTTCCRCTGTCYAGCCTGAACCTCCCCTGGCACAACTTGAGGCTATGTCCTCTTGTTCTCTTGATTGTTGCCTGGGAGAAGAGACACCCCCACCTGGCTGCAAACTCTTTTCATGCAGTTGTAGAGTGATAATGTCCCCCATCAGTGTCTTCTTCTCCAGGCTATACAACCCTAGCTCCTTCAGCCACTTTTCAAAGGATTTACTCTCCAGACCCTTCACCAGCTTTGTTGCCCTGCTCTGGRCACGCTCTAYGRGCTCYAYAGCACACCATCTATGGGCTGGCCACTCTAGCTACTGATATTAAAGTAATATTTCAGCTCCTAGCTTTGCCTAGTCTAATTCTTATTAATGTTCAGAGAATTCTTTTCAAGTCTCACTGTAATCCATCTTTGACTTACATAATTACATAATTACGATTACATAATTGTATATTTCAGATACAGCTCAGTTTGCAGCCTAACAATTCTAGCTACTTAYTCGAAGCAAGCACTTACCTATTTCCCATAACATAACATTTTCAACACTCACAGTGAGAATTTTGTCATTGGGAATTAGGGGAATGATGTTTTTAATTAACCACCTAAAGGATGCTCAATACATTAAAAGCAAAATCTCTTGAAAAAAAATCCTCTTTCTGTCMTCTCTGTCCTTCCCCATATATATAACAGCTGAAGACATTTTCTCTAAAAGGCACTGGCAATCACTTCTCCCCTACAGGGAGGGAGGACAGCTAGGTATGGTGTACATTTATATTTCAGCTCTTTTTCTGTGACAACAGTACATCTACAGTTAGGCCAAGGGTGGGGTTTTTTGCACCACTGTTTTGTCTCTCAATATACTCTGGTCCTATACTCCTCCACATACATACACAAGTGAACACTGAGCTGTGGGGTTTTGTGTTGAGCCAGAAGAGAGCCTTAATTTATGCAAGATCCCTGAAGGCCCTTCCCTAAGCTACTACTGTCCATCTTCCAATRTCATTAAGACTGCTGCCTTATACCAGAAAAGACAGCTTTCCTAGATGTAAACCTGCCTGGAAATTAATGTACTGAATCTAATTTTATCAGAAAAATAGTAGCCTCCACAAACTCTGAAGCCACCAAGCTGAAATGAGTTGATGACGATTTGACTGTTCTAAGAACAGAACTCKCTCCCTACCACTATGGTCACAGCAGATTTATGTATTTACGTGGCTGTGTGAAATGTGGTCGAAGGGCTTCTGCTTTGTGCTGAAATAGATGAAAGATATCTGTGGCTGGAGGGATTACGGGCAGGCAGACAACCATGATTTCCTTCTCCCCACTCTTTGCCCAAATAGTGGGTGCTATTTAACTGAGAGGAGACATAATTTCCACTAATGACTCCAACAAAAAGCTCGGTGAATTCAAAGAGAAGATTAGGCAACCTCTGTTTACATTGCTTTTGAAAAGACAACAGCAGCAATATAATGAAATCCTMATCTCTGATGTCTTGTTGCTTCAGTTATACTTTCCATAAAGTCACTCTGTCAAACAATCTCAGACAGCAGCCTGTGCCTTGGTCAACACAGCTTCTGCTTCAGWGCTGTGTGGTTTAGCAGTGAAGTGCAACAAGCATTTCTCATTATTTGAGGCAGGTCCAAGATGCAAAGATCACATGTAGATCTCTGTGATGTGAAACATACCATAGTTTCAACCATATAGTCTGTGGGTAAGGTGGTTCAGAACTMAACTGGCAGAGTCAGCAAGAAATAATGGTCCAACTCATGAAAATTAGAAGAATTCAGTGTTCTAATCACTAGGTGTTTAATCAGGAGCAACACACCCAAGCACCTGGAGAACGTAGGGTCATTTTAGAAACTAAGGCAGGAAAACTTTCAAACAGGGAGAATTCCCTGCAGTATGGGATGCAACCAGTCCTAATGGTTTAGGGTCTGGGAWTTTTTTTGCTAAAGATTCTGCCTCATCTCTGATATTCAAAGTGATGACTGGAAAATCATATTCCTATTTCTTTAATTAGCCTTTTGGGGTAGAGTCTCTGGATTACAGTCTGGCCACAACACAGCAACTTACTGCATGAGTGTGGAGAGTGGAAAGGTTGCTCACGGGTGATATGGCAGAGGGAGGATCGATGGGAGTTTTTTGGTTTTGGAAGCCCAAACTGAGTCTGACACTAGAGCTGGAGCCAGCCAGCATGGCACTATTTTGTGAAGAGGACCACTGCTGTATCCCAGGCAGTGGATCCAAGCAGCTGCGCTGCTGGACCTGGCGGTTCTCCACGCACCTCCAGCACAGCCCTGGAGCTGGTTTAAGTGTCCTTCACTGCTAAGAATGTTTCCATCTCAGCTCAGAAGGCTTCTGTGATTTGGAGATGTGCTGCGCAGGGCCAGGAGTTGGACTCGATGATCCTTGTAGATCACCTCAGCTTCCACCTCAGCACATTGTGTGATTCTCTAACCAGCCGAGCTGGGAAGCGCCTGCCCCTCTCGGCAGCCGATGCGAACGGCGGGCGCAAAAACGAACCTCGGCAGCCGCCGTGGCGGGCCCTGACAGCACTGGACTGGGCGGGGGCACTCGGGACACCGCCCCGCTGTCCCTCCCCTCTGTCCCGCCCCGCTGTCCCTCTCCTCTGTCCCGCCCGCCGCTTTCCGGGGCCGGGTCACCGCTGCCGCCGCCGGGATGTTGCTGCCGCGGGCGGGCGGTGTGGCGGGCCGGGCCCCGCCGGCGCTGGCCGCCCTGTCCCGGGTGCTGCGGCTGGAGCGGAGCCGCCGCACCGGGATCGTGTTCCCGCTGCAGAAGCTGGAGCGGTATCTGGCGCCCGGCGCCGACACGACGCGGTTCCGCCTCTTCCAGCCCGGGCTGGCCGCTCTGCAGCGCGCCGAGGCGCTCTTCAGGTCCGACCGCGGGCACCCCATCGACTATGTGAGCTCCGCCGTGCGCATGGACCATGCCCCGCCGCCAACCCTGCCCGAGGTCAGCTGAGAGCTGCCCCCGCTCCCCTCAGCCCGGACCGTRCCGGGACCGCGCCGGGACCGCGGCTTTTCCCCGCCCTGGCCATCCCGGGCTGGGCTGAGCTGAGCTGCACTGCGCTGCGGTGGTAAAGGGGTGGTGGAGTGGCTGTGCAGCTCTGGGGCAGCAGTGTCAGAGCGCTGCGCAGCGTGCGGGGCAATTACTGCTGGTTTTTAAAAGACTGTTYGTTTGTTGTTGCTCCCCGTTGTACAGCTCGGCAGCCTGGCATGTCCGTGGCATGGGACGCTGCTGTCCCCGACCACTGGCAGCGAGGGCTGGGAAATGACCAGGACTGGCGGGACATGGGCAGGTGTTGATGTGCCCTCTCCGCCTGCAGGTGTGCTTCATCGGCCGAAGCAACGTGGGGAAATCATCTTTGATCCGAGCCTTGTTTTCACTGGCTCCAGAAGTGGAGGTCAGAGTGTCAAAAACTCCCGTGAGTGACGAGTGACGTTTTTAACCTCTCAGGTTAGGAGATGATACCAGTCCAGAGGATAGGGSTGAGAAGGGTGGGAGGGAACAAGCTCTTGAATAGCCTGAAATGACAGTGCCAGCTCTGGTGGCCATCAGCTCATGGCTGGCACTGGCCTTGCTCTAGCCTGGGAAGAGGCAGGAGTCCAGCCTAGCTCCTCAGCCAGACTAAGAAGCTGCACAACCTGAGCGGGTATGCTTTAAGGCTGTTTGAGAAGAACCAAGCTCAGAGTCTGTTTTATGGATAGAGCCATGTAGGATTGCTACAAGGGTAGGAGAGTGGGCAGTTGAAAGCATTTTGAAGGGGCAGGGGTATAGTGTAGAGATGTTTTGCAGATTRTCTAGTCCACTGCTTAAAGCAGCTTTTTTTTAAAAAATCAAGGTCTTCCTTCATCATGTCTAAATGCTCTCTTCAGGGCCACACCAAGAAGATGAATTTCTTCAAAGTAGGGAAGTACTTTACTCTGGTGGATATGCCAGGATACGGCTACCGTGCCCCACAGGACTTCGTGGAGATGGTGGAGGCCTATCTGCAGGAACGGCGCAAGTAAGGGACCSACCTGTACCTCAGAGCACAGGGAAAGCCAGACACCCCTGTGCAGTGTCATGTGATTAGGGGTCAAAATGCAGAATGAGTGGCTGCTTCMATTCCTTAATTCTGACATCATTTCCCTGGAAGCTTCTGCAGTGTCASTCATTCATGCTCAGACAGATCAAAACAGCAGGAAAGACTGAGGTGCTGCTCCATGCTGACCCTCAGTTTCCATGCGTGGCTTTCCTTGGTTCTTCCTATCCTCAGATCCCATGTTACTTGTTTTTGCTTATGAATTTGGAAGTAGCAGAGCAGACATGAAATAATGGTGGCAGTTACTGTTGCTTGTATTTCTGGCAGCTTGAAGAGGACTTTCCTRTTAGTTGATGGTGTGGTTGGACTCCAGAAAACAGATCACATTGCAGTAGACATGCTGGAAGAGTTTGGAATTCCTTATGTGGTAGGTAATGCTTCATTCTTAGGTTGGTTATAAGGTAGAGGTAATCTATAAAGGTGTGTACTCTCTACCTGAGCTGATGCAAATTGACCCACCTAAGCATTAATCTCTCTCCCTTTATTGTTAATAAAATGGATTTAAAATGTGTTGAGGGAGACAAGTGGGATTCAAGAGGGTTTTTGCATGGTTTATTTAATAGTTCCTTTTTTTTAGTGCTCAGCTTGAGGAGCTTGCAAAGGTGTGCTACTCATTATGCAGGCCATAGCATGTTTTGGTGAACTGTATTAGACCACTTTTACCCCTAGATAYGACCCAGAGCTTTCCTTGTAAGAGRTCCAYRGCTCTTATAGATAAGTTYCAGGCTAACAGCAAAATAATCTTACTTTCATCTTTTAATGCTCGCTTTCTGGATCCATGCAGATGGTGTTAACAAAAATTGACCGAGCTTCCAGGGGAGTGTTGTTAAAGAAYGTACTGGAGATCCAGGAGTTTGTAAAGGAGAACACTCAGGGATGCTTTCCTCAGCTGTTCCTGGTCAGGTAAAGCTCCTCTCCACTGCTGCTGTTTCCTTTCTGGTGATAAATTCAGTAGGGTTAAGATACCTGAAATGGATCTGTCTGCTGTAGAAGCAGCACCTCTTTGTGCCCCAAGGATGGAGGGTGGGCTGCTGTTGGAGAAATGTCCCTTTCTTTCTTACCCTTCTCTGTAAGTGAGTGGAGTTTTGTTTTCAAGGGCACTTCTTCCTTTGACCTTTCTCCAAGGGGGACAGCAGTCCCTGTGCTGCATGCTAGMGAGCTTTCCCATTTTCTTTGGAGTTCTGGCTAACGGGATCAGCTGTAATTGTTGGATTACTTAGCCAAAGTGCAGACTCTTCCTAGGGTGTACTGTAATTGAACACAGCCAGTGGCTGCTGGCCTGTATTACTCCAAGACACAGCATTATCTGGTGCTATATGTCCATTCCTCTGTTTCCACAGTTCTGTGGAGTTCTCGGGGATTCACTTGCTCAGGTGTTTTGTAGCCCACGTTACTGGAAATCTGCCTACAGTAGAGGCAAGCTGAAAACACCAACTGCTGATCTGCTTGGCTCATCCAGAACAAAAGGTATCAAAACCAGAGGTCTGGGGTTTTTGTTGTAAATAACCCAAGTTACTATTTTTGTAAACAAATTGTATACCAWTTTTTGAATAAATTATTATTTATAAAATAAAGCTTTTTCTTGATTGAGTTCATCAATTCAGGAAGCTTGCAGTGTRAATTAATCAAGGTTATTATAAAACTGTTTCATAAAACCTACATGATTGTACTAAGGAGAGAAAAAGCAGAGAACTTCTAAAGGGAAAGTTTAATACATTTTCTCTTCCTTCATTGCAATGTTCAAAAAGCTACCACTGCATGGCTAACATCTGCTATATTTAGGTTATTAGAGGTAGTCTAGTAATATGATTATTAAAGAGGCATTTAGTTTAGGACAGAAAAACTATAGCCCTAACATTAAGCCGCCTGTATTGCACAGGTGAACTGAATGATACACAAAGGTTTGCCTCTCTCAGTTGGGGTTAGAGTTAGGATAGCTGGGGCCAAAAATTACCACCTCTGCAACCCACCTGCTCTAAGGCCGTATGGAATGAAAATAGCCAATGTGTTGTCTGTGAGGGTGTGTGTTAAAATTTTACTTTGTAACTCTTGTGTGTCCTGTGTTCAATTGGTGCGGCAGAACAGGATGCCTTGCTTGCAGACATCGAGTTGTCCCTGTTCCACAAGGATGAAGGAAAGGATCTTTATGAGTAATTTGGAGGAGGTGCATTGTTAGCAAATGTGCCTGGGGTACCAAACTGGGGGAAAACAGTTGGCATGCTCAAGGGCCAGGGATGCCGTTTAGAGGGACTTGGGTGAGCTGGAGGAAAGGGCTGACAGAAACTATGAAATTTAGAAGGATTGTAGCACCTTATGAAAACAAGCTGGAAAAACTGGTGCTGTCCAGAAGGTAAAAATCGCACAGCAGCCTTCTGGTGTCTGAAAAGCCTACAGGGAAGCCAGAGAAGGTCAGGAACTGTAGTGATAGGACAAGGGACAATGGATACAACCTGAAAGAGGGGACTTGCCGTGGGCAGCCTGATCTAGTGAGAAGTTTCCATGTCTGTGGCAGGGGGGTGGGGATTAGATGGTCCATGTAAACCCCTTAATATGCTGTGATTCTGTGATTCTGTGAACATAAGCAAGTGTGTCTTGTTGAAGGGAAGGAAAAGCCCCTGCCAACTACAGACTGTCTGTGAAAAGAGCACCTTTCAGACCTCATAGCTGGCCYTCTTTGGAGCAGGGGGTGGACCATACACCTCCCGGGTTCACTTTCAAACCACGATATCCTGAGGTGACAATCCAATAATACACAGATCTGGGGAGGAGCACCTTATCCCTGACAGCAATTCCCCACTCCGGGAGCACGGGCAGGCCCGGCAGCACCGCCTCCCGGGCGGCGCAGCTGTGAGGGGCCGCGGGGCGGGGCCGGGCCGCGGAAGCTGTTCCGGCAGCCATGGCGGATGAGGAGGAGGACGTGCCGGTGAGTGCCGGGGGCCGCGCTGCCCGGGGACCCGGGGCGCGAAGGGAAGGGGCCGGGCTCAGCCGGGCGCTGACCGCGGCTTCTCCTCCGCTGTGCCCGTGCAGTTCGAAGAGGACGCGGAGGACGCCGGCGGGGGCCTGGACGGCGGGCAGGGCAGGAGGAAGAGGCTGTTCTCCAAAGAGCGTGAGTCGGGCCGGGCCAGAGAGCCCTGCCCAGCGCCGACGGGTCACTCAGCTGAAACTCCGAGCTGACAGCTATTGGGTCCCAAAACTCATTTCTCCTTAGCGAAATAGCGGCTTTCATTCTGTGCCTTGGCTGCAAGTGCAGAAAGCTGCCATGTAGACCCCCCCAAAAAATATTGCTAATGCATCCTCTGAACCTAGCTGTGCCCAAAGTCAGGTGCGCTGTCTGTGCAGTGCTCTGCAGGCTAAATGAATTTCAAAGAGCCTGTCGTCAGACATGCTTTTCTGTATATACGACACCTGGCTTTTGTTGGTTTCTGCCTATTTCCTGTATGTTTYCTCAAGAATTGTCCTGCCTGACAGAAGGGGATGCCGTCCTGGTGCAGGAATGTGCAGGCTGGTGAGCTATAATAGTGTGTGCAGCACTGAATGGATGAAAGAAGCCTCACACTTAGTGTTTCTTTGTGCAGTAAGATGCATGATGTATGGATTTGGGGACGACCAGAACCCTTACACAGAATCAGTGGACATTCTCGAGGACCTGGTAATAGAGTTTATCACAGAAATGGTAAGTCAGCTCTAGACAGTATGGTCAAAACATCCTCACCAGAACTTTAGCTTTCTGACGTTTAATACCTCTGACTCAAATATTGCATTATCCCAGGTCCCAAACTCACGGTATTTGTAGTGGAAAGATAAACTTGGAGGTTTTTTTTCCAGGATTATAGTCTGAGGTCCTTAGTTAGCAGTTAGGGTAGTATTGTAGGAGGGGAAATACCCATCTGGCTTTGGGGTGGCATCACTGTGGCATCACTGTATGTGCAGCTGACAGAAGATAAGGCTCAGTTGCAAAAGCCTATCAACTTTTTGTGTTTGCCCAATGTCTGCACATGAATGGGAACTTAGAAATGCATCTTTGGGCCTGAAGGCGTTACTCTTTCCAGATCTGGATACTGTTCTAATGTATCCAAACATTCCCCTTTCTTTTGAAAGGTTGTCTTGCCTATCCTTATCAAAATGCCCTACACTATCCTCCTATATATTTACCTCACATTGCTCCCAAGTTGTGCCTTATCTTTAGGCATTCTGCAGGCTGGGTGTCCTACATGTAATCTGGCCTTAGTTTTGATACCATTATGTRATGTATGTATGATGGTATGGCCTGGGTGTGACAAGAAGCTGGGGACAGCAGAGTAGTCCATGGTTTCCTGGGAAGTTCTCCTGTGACTAGGATGATGGTGCCCAGAAATTGCAATTGCTTACTTTTTATTATAAAATGATAGGAAATGAAGTGGAATTTAGAGCTTAAAAAAAAACCAAAAAACCAAAAACCCAGGGTAAAGGAACTTTGCTGACTTTTCCTTTTTCCCTCTGCCAGACACACAAGGCCATGTCCATCGGGCGGCAGGGTCGGGTACAGGTTGAGGACATTGTCTTTCTGATACGCAAGGACCCCCGGAAGTTTGCCAGAGTKAAAGACCTCCTAACAATGAATGAAGAACTGAAACGAGCCAGAAAGGCCTTTGATGAAGCAAACTATGGGTCTTGATTCTGTGCACAAACTGCACTAGGGCATTATTTGGGCATCTGCTGCTCAGTAAGCAGCAGATCGTGTGTTCTTTGCAAGGGTTATCCAGGATGGAGGTCACTGCTGGGATGTCTGCTCTCACTCCCAACCTTTTCTGAGAAATACTCAAGCAGCTGAAATGTTACCTGACTGTATGTGGTATATTTAGGTATTTTTATACCATTTGATGAAATGAGAAAAAGAGCTCCAAAAATTCCTGCAGTTGGCAGGAGTCTGAAGTAGGCCTGTGTTGCTTCAGCTGGCTTGAGGGCTGATGATTCATGAGTCTCTAAAATTATTTCAGTTGTCACTGGCTATTCCTGTGCAAGGAAACCCAGAAAATAGATCTTGGTTATCTGTACAAAGACCTTAAGCCCAACTACTATCAAAGTTCTGCTCTTTGCTTTGTATATGATTTTTGAATAAAACCTAAATTTGTGCACGTTTCATACTAAATGTACATCAGTCACACAAGGTGGGTTCACACAAAGTGGGTAATTCAGGGGGTTTAGCACTTCATGGGCTATGAAGGTTATTTTTGTTTCTRTCTCAATGGCACATCTCTTTTATTTTCTACCACTATTAGGCCTAAGAAATTGAATGTAGCCCACTCGTGATATACTTGCGCTTACACCATTTCCTTACCGCTAGGTGTTCTGTACTAAATCAGATTCCTATTCTTCATTTCAGTATTTTTTTCTTATTATTTTCTGGTGATCCTGATTGTGAGAATTAGTTACAAGCAAGAGCCTGGCAGACACCACTAAGCCCATTGCTTGTTTTAACACTACGGGGTACCTGTGCCTTATATTGCCAAATAGGTAGAAACTGCACTTAGATTAAAAYGATTTGGGGACAGTGAGAAACATGTTCATTGGGAGTTCACTGTTCAGGCCACAGCTGTGCTCTTCCCTACTTCTGGAGCAGCTCAGGAGGAGGTAGGTTCAGTTAACTCCTCATGTGAGAACAAGGACAACAAATGCTGAAACAGCAGTAATACTGCACATCATGGCTGTCCCCTGTACAAGCAGCACAGAAGGAAGGGTGTAAGGCTTAGAAAGGTGTTGGCAAGTTTTGTCCAAAGCAGCAGTAAGATCAGCTGCAGCCTGCTGCCATGGGTGGTAACTATTTGCGCTGTGCATTTGACAACAGCACTTAACGTGTGGTCAAGCAATAGAGAAGGACACTGAGTAACAAAGTCACTGTTCCTGGACAAGGCTAGGTAAAAGAATGGAAACTTCAGCTGTTTGSAACATCCTTAAAAATATATATATATAAAAGCTGTTTTACAAAAACATAAAATAGTTGCTACTTTCTTACCAGAATTCAGGATGTGAGTTACTTAGACACCATTAGGGTTCAGAGGGGTTTACTTTAAAAAAAACCAACAAAAACTAGAATGCCTTTGACCCCTTTCCTCCTTCAAGTCCAGGATCAAACACCTATTGCTGCAAAAATAGAATCAATATCTGTGTTCTCAGAAACTTCTTTCCAGACAGGGTCAGGCCTTCCTTCCAGCAGCAACCGCTTAGGGGTTCCTGTTGTGCTTAGTCTGACATGGCCTGTATCAATTTTGGAATGTTCTTCCTGACTTGAAGACCCATCCTGGTAAGCTGGGAGGATGAARGGTAAAATGTTCTCACAGACTCCAAAAGGCTCAGGAGGCTTTTTCCCACGAGTCTTTAGAGCTGTCTTCACGTGTGCAGATGATTTGATCCTCCTTCGGCAGATCCACGCCCCAAGGTGCCGCTTTGGCCAGCGAGAGTGTTGTACCCCATACAGGAGGTATTTATGGACAGATGTTTTGACACAGCGAAGCTTTTTCTTCAAGCTTAAGGGGAGGAAGGTGCACAAAACAGAATTTTATCAGCTACTAAATTGTTACTTCATTTGGAGATTGGAGAGATTCGGATATGAGCCCTCTCTATCATTATCCTTATTGTACCAAGGAAATARAACAGCACCTTGAACAATAGTAGCCAGGGCAGTCTGAAGAAAGACAACCCTTGCCTTATACAGTTGTTACCATTAAACACACAGATAATTTAAGTTGCATTTTTATCCTCCCTCTTAAGTATTTGTGCATTTGTTAGCCTTTTAAATATTTTCATAAGTGACTAGAGCTAAACACAATGCTCATGTCAGAGTGCGCAGTAATCTGAACTTGTGATCCTGTCTGAATTTTAAAAGAATGGCTTAGACTACTATATTTCTCTATACTGTAGCGAAATACATAATATTAAAATATAAACTGTTAGACTGAGAAATCCCACACCCATGCAAAACTACCTGCATCCTTGAGCCTCCACATGGTGCAGCCGGTTGCATTTCAACAACTTGTTCCGCAGAAAATAARCTTCTGATTTGAATTTGTTGCTTTTGCACAACAAAATAGCTTTTCTGAGTGCCTCTGACAGCTCCCCAAATGATGCAGCTGTTTGGACCATCTGTACAAGAGATCCAGCATGCTGTGATTTTGCTATCCGAGAGGAAGGTGGTGCTGACTTTGCTTTAAAAGGTGTTGATGCAATGCTTAGACCCTGAAACAAACAGTAACAGAAATAGTTAAGTCTTTTAAAAAGATGATGTGCCTGATCCTTCTTACTGGAAGGGAGCAGAACACTGGGGTTTTGTGAGAACATTTCTTATGTCCTAATGAAAAAGGGAAGAGCAGTCTTGTTTCGTGGAATACAAAAAGAAGAAGCAGATAATTAGGATTTATATTCCTGACTGCTACTGACTTGCTCTCTAGTAATTTAACTTGACAAACCAATAAATGCTCAAATTCCTAAGCAGAAATAATAATGATTTTCCAGTACCCTAAGCTCACACAAACTTGGGTTGGTAGACAAGCAAAAACAAGGAAGAGAAAGGGGATATTTTCAATCAGGGATTTTTTAGTGTTTCAAGGTATTTAATATTAAAAAAAAACTAATGTGTGAAAAAAAAAAAACCCAAACAACCTAATGTGCAAAACAATAYCATACAAACCTCTTGTGTTGGATATCTGGATGGCCTAAGAAGGCTCTTCACATCAAACCCTGAGTGCTTCCCTATAGAGAGAGGAGAATTCCCATTACAATGCTGAGATAGTTTTGTATCCTTGCACAGAGATGCCACAGAGCTCTCAGCAGACTCAGCCTGTACTCAACATTTCCAGGCAAACTCAAGGGGACTATACTCATTATGCATTGCAGCTGGCAAAGAATGAAGAGGATGCAAAGATTTACAGATGGCTGCAAAGGAGAACTTAATGGGTAAAAGCTTCATACAAACACCTGGATGGCTGCAGTCACTGAACACAGCCCTGACTGCAGAGGAAGATTTGGGCACAGTCCAGAACCAGCAAGCACAGGAGACTTGCATCCTGTACCTACAACCTTACCTACTCTTCTATGGACTGGAGACTTAACTCCCTAACTCCTCACTATCCTTATCTATGCAGTAGCAGAGAAGTACAAATAACTATTTTCAGGACCTGTATACTGCATTTATTACCTACTTCTCTCCAGGCTGCATCCTGCTTAAAAGAAACTCCCTAAAACATCATGATACTGACATTATCCACAGCTTTATAAAGGCAAGGGTACATGCAGCATTCTCTTCTTCCAATGACAGGAAGGGAGTTTGTATTAGAACCACCACAGAAGTTGCAGTCAGTCTCTGAGATGCCAGAAACCATTACACTGTGGCACAAGGCTTTACCTCTTCTGGCTGTGGGCACCTGAACTGCCTCTCCAATGTCCACGGGGATGCTACGGTATTTCACAGCACTTGTACAGGTCTCAAGTTTTCTCTTTTTCCCAACCTTTAGTACTGCCTCTGGCATTTCTGGGAAGAGTCTCTTCATCCAGCTGGTAGATTTTTTTGTTGTAAGCATTTTAGCCTTTTGTTTCTTTGCCTCAGAAGACACATTAACTCCAAGGAAGTCGCTGATATCAGAAGGGAAGGTAAACCCCTTGATATAAGGCATCTGTTGGGTTTCAGATACCAGATGAAGCAYTGTCCACAAGGCACTGTACAAGGATGTGAGAGTCTCCAATATACACCTGTACTGAATCCTGAAGAGAGAAGACAAAAGGGTATGGARTCTCCTCCAGCAAAACACTGTGCTCACTGAACAACTACCTTAAGCTCAGGTAAGAGATTCCAAGCTGCCTTTTCCCTGTTTCCACTCAGTACAAATATACTTTACGCTCTGTGACCCCAATTTCCGTAAGTTGGAGCTTTAAGGAGCTGTTCAGGATCAGAATATACGAGTGATTTAACTGGCAAATTCCTGATCAAGAGCCCTTCTTCAAGAGCTTCCACAGAGTTTTGCTGAGTGCCACACTTGGGACTCATCAGGTTCTTGGGTCACATCCCAACCAATTGCCATGAGGTCTCCCCCAAAAGCATCCTGTACCACCTCAGGCCTGATGCCACGCAATTGCCTGCTCTACATTTCTTGGAGACACAAGATTTCTTGTGCCAAAGTTGTTTTACACAATGCTGTCACTCCTTCAGCTACAGASAGCAGTTATTTTCCCATACTGAGAGACACCAGAACACCAATTTGCCYGGAAAACTCAGCAGTATTAGAGAATATATTTATCCCAGCCTTTCCATCTCAGCATGAGGCAGGACTTACTGCTTGCAGCACAGAGTACCAGTGTCAGTGTCTGGGGCAGCCTCACACTAATACTGTGAATTCATTACAGCTAAAGTTTGCTAGGATCCAAGAGTAAAGGCTTCCATAAGAGTGTGTAAGAAGTCTCTCTCCCTTTAGGTGCTAAAATCAAGTCCAAAATGATGAAGAAACTCTCCCTTCTCCTCCTCCCRACTGCATAAAACTCCCTTAGCAGCAAGGCCTAATTACACACCCTTCTCCCTGACAGGCACATCAAACAGACAGACACAAAGAAGACAGACTTTTGAACACACAAACCAGAGCCGGCTCAGGAGCCCTGAAGCCACAGTGTTCAGGAGTATGAATTCCTCYGAGCAGAGATGTTTAACGGACAAGCTGAAGATTACAGCAGTTAAGGATTAAAAAAATAAACAGCATGTAATGAGACTTGCTGAACACAYCATACTAGAGGCAATTCACAAGGCAATATCCTGGAATAAACTGGGAGATGAGTATCCAAACTTTGCATTGCTCAAGGCCAGAACAGCTGCCAGCCAACAGCCTGAGGTTCCTACACATAAGTTGAAAATAAGGTGTTTGGCTATCAAAGAAACTTCAAGTTCCACATATGAATTGCACAGTTGAGTCCTGTAGCAATACAGGGCCTACAGCAGACCTAGTTTTGATCTCATGAGGTACTACTGGTGAACTCTAAGAATGCTTTTATGGTGAAAAAAGGATACAGAAAAGCTTTACAGCAACAATCCAGCAGACGCAGTATGAGCTTGCAGCCTCCTAATACCTTCAAAGCCACTGTTTCCAGTATAGGCTGGCTGGGAACCAAGCATTCTGCAAGGTCTTCGGATGTATTTTTCCTGTGTTGATAGARGGATGAGGAGTTGGTTATGATCTAGCAACCTCTTCCTCTAGCTCTGCAGATTGAGTWACTGGATAGCACAAAATATGGGATCATGACACTTACTTGGGAATCAGTTCTAGCAGAGTTTCCAGGCAGCCCACCAGATTCATTCTCCATAGGCGCTTCAAACATTGTTCTACCTAGGATAAAGAAGAAAACTCCTTTGACTGGTATTTTGAAAGACATTAAATTACACCTTCTCCTTATCCGTTTAACAGCCCAAACTGCAGGTTTGTGTGATGGAATATTCTGGAAAGTTTCTACATCTGCACTATGATGAAAAACATCTATTTACCACTCCGCTGAAAATATGGAATTAAGTGAAGGACTGCAGGACTGCAGTAGGCCATGTTTAATTGGTGCTGCATGATTTCCCCTGCTGTAYACAACGGCCTTTAGTACTGGCTGTCAAGAAGGAAAACACATAAACAAATCAAGAAGGTAAGCACAGTTYTTGCTTTACTTCAAAACAATTATCTGAAGATGCTAACAATCCCTTTCATGGCAAACTGGCAAGGTGTTCACTTTTCATCTTAAAACAAAGAGTACCTAATAAAGTAACCTTTATAGAATTGCCTTAAGGRTTATTCTTGCCCGCTCACATTATTACAATTAGTTGAGAATGAAGTGCCTGTCTTACTCATTTATTCAAAGGCATGGAATTGYACCTACTTCAGGTCTCAGCATGAGTATTGGAGACCAGGGCTGGAAAATGGAAATTGCACAGGCTGCACAGAGCCAAGAAACCCACCGGACTGAACTTTGTGAGGGACAAAACYGCACCTGCTCCCAAACACTTTCTGAATTATGCTCGAAGCGCCAAATGCTATGTAAAGCCCTTTCAGGGAGTGGTGACCGGGGGCCGGCAGTACCCAGCTGGTGAGTCCCTGTGCCCAGCCGGGGTTGGTGCTCACCTGCTGCAGGGCCAGGTATGGCCGGTGCCGGAGCAGCCTGCTGTGGTACACGTAGAGCACGGAGCGCAGGACGCGTCCCTCGGCGGCCAAGCCCGGCCCCGACAGCCGCTTCCCGGCGATGTAGCACTGCCGCCGCAGCACCGACAGGCACCTCACTGCGGGAGAAACGCAGGTACCGCCTCAGCGCCGGGCGCCAGCGCCGGACATCACCTCAGCTCCCGCCACCGCCCCGGCCGCGCCTCTGGCCGGCTGACCACCCGCCGCAAACGCCTGGGAGCGGCTTCAAACACACCCCCTCCCCCCTCAGCACCGGGACCTGCAGGGTGTTGGGCCGGCAGCGGCACCGTGGCGCTGCTCGCGGGCCAGAGCACGTCCAGGCGGTTCCAGGGCTCCTCCGGGCCGTCCCACGCCGCCCTGGGCGCCGCCATCTTCCCGCGGTGCGCGGCGATGCCCGGCGCGGGCGGGACCATCCGCCAGCGCCGGCGGGGAGAGGCGCGGGCCGGACCAAGTCGCCCCACGGGGGTGTGTTATGGCTCGGGGCCTGGCGCTGCTGCGCTGCATTCCCAAACGCTATAAGCGAGAAGGGAAATAAGTATAAATTATGAGTGCTACTCACGCTTTTTAAGCCTCCAAGTTCTTCAGTGTCTGCCTCGGGAGCTGTGGCTGTTGGGAGCGCAGCTGAGCTGCTCTGTGAGGCGGTGCAGGGATGTTCCTGAGGGTGACCCTCGTCCCTAGCCCTCCCGTGTCACACACACCCCTTAAAGTACTGGAAGAGCAATTCATATCCGGACTAGAGAATATAGTYTTAATATKMACCGGGGAATGTTTARGTTGGACATCAGGAGGAATTTCCTCACAGAAAGGGTGATYAGACATTGGGATGGGCTGCCCAGGGAGGTGGAGGAGTCACTGTCCCTGGAGGTGTTAAAGGACAGACTGGATGTGGCACTCAGTGCCTGGTGTAGCTGACACTGGTGTTTGATCACAGGCTGAACTCGATGATCTTTGAGGCCTTTTTCCACCCTATTGATCTTATGATTCTGTGATATCACCATTCTGAGCAAGAAAGGGCCTTGCTGCCCACACCCCAGGTCCCTGCCTGGCTGTCCTGATCCCTCCATGCTCCCAGACCCTGCTGGTGGTACAAAGAGCCAGGCCTGTGGTGGACGCAGGTGCTCCATGGAGTTGATTGCTGTAATTTATGAGTGTTGTTGGAATAGTTTCTTATCAAAAAGATTTTTGTGGTGTTCTGAGTTCTCCTCCCCCAAGTACAAGACATTTCCTGGCTCTTTCCCTCCCTGCCTGAAGTTGAATGTATTCTTTTCTTACTTGCAAACACTGGTATTCCAGTTAATGTATTTGTTAGAAACAGGGGTCTTGCATTGAGCACAATTTTTGTACAGTCTTATCTCTCCTTGATTCAATTTTGTTGTACATTTGCTCTCTTCTTTTAAGAAATCTCATACAAATACAGATAAAGTTATGTCCCTTTAAAATGATGGACCAAAAATTGGCATGAATGGTTGCACCTGTGGGGAAGAGAGATAAGAGCAAACCAAGAGGCAGAATCCATAAAAGGCTGCTGGGGGCTGTACTGGAAAAGGGAGTGTTAGGCTCCCTAGAGTAAGAGTGGAGGTTAGAGGTGAAAGAAAGAATGGAGCCTCTAGGGTATGAGCAGAGGATCACAAAGGTCTCCCTAGCTGAGCTTCTGAAGTGTTTTGAACATCCTATAAGTGAGGAGCAAGCCTGGGCTATCTGCTTTCAGTGTTGCAGAAAAATAGAGCAGCTGGCTCAGGGGCTGTGCCCACCACTCTATTCTGTGTTCATAAAAGGTTCTGGAAGCATCTTTATCCATGCTGATGGTTCTGCTTCCTTCAAAGTCTACCACAAGTCTGGTAAGAGCGTAGGTAGCTTCAGGTGCCAAGGGCTGTTCCTATAAAAGTCTGAAATATCTTTTGCACGTTTTTTTTTTTTGTTTGTTTTTCTTTCCCCCTCTCTTTTCTCTGTATACTGTCACAAAGCTATTCTGTCTATACCTCTTGCAGAGGACTGTAGATGAGTAATACAGATGTGTGACCGACTAATTTCTCTAGTAGTGCTCAGTCATTTGGTTCTAGGGAGTTGCTGTGATGAAAGTCTTCTACCACTTACGTTATTTGAAATAAATAGTCTGAGGCTTTATTTTATTAATTGCTCGGTTCATCTTCCAATGTATGGTTCCTTTGTTCTGGTAGCCCTTTATGCACTTTCCCTTTCTTTTGTCACTGTGTGTAGCCAGCAAGTGGCAACAAGTCTGTGTAATGTAGGGCTTGGTTGGGCTGCTGCAGAGGTCAGTGCTAGGCTAACTCTTCAGGGACTAGAGTGGGTAATAAAGAATAAAGACAAAGATTCTGTGCCTTTCCTGTGGTTGGATATCAATTAGCAAATAACAAAATGCAGCAGCTGTTACTTTGAGCTAATTGATAACACATGTCTCCTATGTTGCTTTCCAGGACTCCCCAAATACAGCTTACTTTCCCAAGGTGGGATGACTTTAGTCAGAGGAGTTAAAGAGAAAACTTTTAGTTTTCTTTTAGTAAAAAGACTTTTTACTTTAAAACTTTTCTTTTAGTAAAAAGAATTCTTCCTGTTCCCCTCTTGTGAAAAAGGTTCTAAAAACTGCTTATCAATGCCTACATATCTGTTCTCCCCTGACCACCTTTTATTTTCCCTTTCAGATGTTGGCAGCATTCAGCAGTCAGAGGACAAGGTAAGCCTGTATCTTTACATTCATTATGTGTGCAGATGTAATCCTGTTGTACTAGGCCAGCTCAGGAGATGCAGATGTCAATTTGCTGTACCCTGTTAGAGTGTCTCTTTTCCTTCCAGCCTGAAAAAGGAAACAAAATGCTTGTACTGAAATTAAGTAAGACAATGGGACTGGGAAATAATGGGCACAGATTGTGTCTAATGTGGAATAGGCCAGTGTCTTCTTGTCTTTATAACAGATATCTTAAGGGTGCTAGTTAAGGCCATTTCAAAATCTTAAACCAGTATAAATAAGGGAGTATCTCTCATCCTGAGTGATGTGCTCAGTCCTCAGGTGCACAGGAGGGTAAATTCCTGGCTGGAAAGTGAGAGCTGTCATGTTCCTCACAATGCTTTGTGCTGCACTGTTTCCTTGGTCTGTCTGCAGCTGTTGGAGTACTTGGGAGTGGTGATCTATGAAGCCCTGGACTGGGGAATTGACAGCCAAGTGGAGCGAGAACTGAGCAGTCCTTTGGAGAAACTGCTGTGCCTCATGTTGAAGCTGGATGATGAAGCARTGAAACCACCAGTTACCCTGCAGGATGTTATCAAGGTTTCCTTCTTCTCAGTTAGTAAATATAGCAGCTTTAGAGCAGTTGATGGAATAGTACTGTTAACCAAGAGCCAAGACCATTTTTGGGAAAAAGCTGGGGGGGTTGTTGGAGAACATAGAGGGAGCACTGGTTTTCCCATCAGAGGGGAAAAAGCAAAACCATTTTAGGTGTTTACATGTGCCCATGGAAAAGAATTAAGAAGGAAGACTGAGCATGACTCTCACAGAGCTGTGTCTACAAAGTCCTTCTGTACATAGTCTCTAAATTCCATACCTAGAACATTATGGATATTGAAAAAAAGTCACCTTCCATGGTATTCAGCTTCTGCAAAGGCTAGGATTTGAATGTCTTAACTCAAACAGATATTTTCCTCTCAGCCATATTTTCCTCTCAGCCATAATTTAAAGGTACGATAAACTTCCCATCCCTCTGGCTGATCAGGGGAGGGAAAAAGAACAGGACAAGTGACTCCACCTGCTGTGGGTTGTTGTACTTTGTCTGAACTGGAGGCTTCCCCTTTCAGGTGCTTATTTCAAAGCAAACCTTGTGGAAAACAAGATACACAAATTACACAGCTATTTAAATTATTGTACACATAAGATTGGACATCTTCCTTCTTTGTCCCTCTGTATCTGCAGTAGAAAAAAAAATATAAAGGGGTGGTGAAGAAGGTGATTTTAARCCATGGATTGAGGAAACTGGATCTTGCTTTATCCCTTCCTACCACAGTTTGGTTTTTTTTTTTTAATTTCAAAATGTTTTTAAAATAGGCTTTTCTTTCAGGCCTGCGAGGAGCACCTGTCCAGGCCTTCTGAGGCTACCAGCCATTATGAAATGACCTGTAGGAGTCTGTTTACTGAATATATGGAACTTCAGAAGCTTGTAACCATCATCCAGACCTCCAAAGAGGTACATTTATAATTACCCATTAGCTGCTATTCCCTCCACCTTCACCAAGTTCTAAAGTAACCTTCYCATTGCACTAGAAATGGAACACCTGGATGAAGGTATGTTTTCACAATGTAAAATATGAATGTCTCTGCACCATTTTTATTTATTCTAGCATTTGAAAGTTTAGGTGTTTGGAGCTTCTAGGCTTTTCYGATAAATATTAGTAATTTATGCTGAAGAGATAGGAAATCAATGAAGAGTGTAAGGTAATCACCTCATGTGCTTGCTTCTCAGAGGCTGAGAAAAATGGATGTRGAAGATTGGGTGGAAAATCCTATCCAAAAGAAGAAAACCCATGCTGTAAGAGATTTATTTTCTTAATTGTGAGKTACTGGGTTTTTTGTTCAACCTTGGCTCTCTGACGCTTTCAATTGAGTCTTCTATGAAAAGTAGAGCTTGAACACAAACTAAACTGCTTAGGTTGCTCAGGAGCTTGAGTAGTTAGACTTGTCTGCAAAACAAGTTGGGGAATGATCTTGAAGTTAAACTATTTCAAATGTCAACTTCACATGGACTTCTATTCTACCCAAAGATTGTCTTTGTGGTCCACCTTAAACCACTTCTAAAAATGAAATTGCAGCAGACTTTGGAGTAAGTGTCCACAAGTAGTTACTCAGGCTGTTTCTTCTGGCAAATAAGCCCCAAGTTCCAGCTCTTGGCAGGAACTGACACCTGCCAAAAGCAATCTGTTCCTTTCTCATAGCTGCCCTGAAAACTTCCAGGAAATTGTTCAGTTGTTGGTAGTCTTGGKGTGGACTACTTCACTCTTATTATGTGGGATATATGCTGGTCAGGACTGGCAGGCACTGAAGGCCAGTAGCACTGTCCATCTTTGTGGTTGTGCAGCTCCAGCAGCTCAAAGGGCTGAAGGAGGATGAGSTTGGAGATGTTGCTCCTACCTTTTGTGCCCTGCCTTTCTTGTCTTTGCCTTCTGTCCTTCCATGGATCTTGTACTGTTTTTGGGGCAGGGAAAGCAACTTACTGTGTTCTGCTCAAGGCCCTACGCAGTCAGGGCTCAATCAGAAACAAACAGCTCTTCAGGCTGGAGCTCTGCCCAGCATAAACAAATGCTCTGTAGTCTGGAGTCTGTGGAGACAAACAGCAAGCCCCGAGAGACTTGTGGACTCTCTCCCTTTGTCTAAATAGCACTTGCTTTGAAGCATGCTCAAACTATTYGTATGAAAATGTTTGTGAAATGTGTGCTTGGGCATATTCTCAATTTTGTGATCTATTAAAATAAACTGGCAAGCTATCTCAAACCACAAACTCATCAACTGCTGTAGCTCTTTTCTGCAGGGAATACATGAATAAATACATGGGCTTTGCTGTGTGGCCTGAAGGCCAGTGTATTTGGCCTCTGCTCTTTCAGAAGACATGAATTCCAAAAGTTGGATGTCTGTTGCAAATCCTCTGCCTCTAGTTTCTAAGTCTCTAAGCACCAATTGATTGCATTGCTCTGACAAACTCTTGATTTTAAAATAACCAGGATGCCAGCTTCTCTGGGATCCCACAGATTAGAGCTGATGTCTTGAGTGGTGCTAAGCAGGTAATGTGTTCTATGGACTTTTACAAGTCAACTGTTTCATGTTGACTGATACTAAGCAGGTCTTCTAAAATGAGGACCACAGCCTAATAGTGTGCAGGGTTGTACAGTTTCTGCAGAGCTTAGCTGTACATGTACCAGGTCATTATTCACCTTGAAATCTAAGCAGTGAGACCTGTTAGAAACACAGCTCTCACCACTCATCTGTTGAACTCAAGGCAATGAGTTTAGAGTGTTGTAGCATTTTGTGTGATATTGCACAGGCTGTGGAAGGTTTAGGTGGCTTTTGACAATACATGGGAGGGCACAAGTAGAGTAATTGCCATGATCCAGTCAGAAGGGAAATAAAAGCATGAGTGATAATGATGTCACCAACATCTGAAAAATGTTTTGGGTGTACAAGTTGCTCTGAAATTGAAGGCAATTCTTGTCCCCAAACTAGTGTGGCTATATTACAGTAGAGAAGTTTCTCTTCAGGCCATGTCTCTCAGTCAAGTTCCTTCACCGTGTGAAATACAATTCCATAGAGCAGAAGTGTCTTAGGATAAGCATTTCAAAAGTTTCTAGTACTAATGAGTTTGYCCTGAAACTTCTGTGTGTTCTCCCAACAATATTAAATATAACCTAGGAGACGGCTAGTGCTTGGTCATTCTTTGAGGATTCTAATTTCTGACTGTGCCAAAGCCAGGCTGAAACAATCCTACAGAAAGATCTGTCTGCTTGAAGGCAGCCATCAGTCAGAGCTTGCATAAGGCTCTTCTGGTATTACCAAGATATCTGAAAGGATAAGTTGAGAAGATGCTTCATGCTGTAAGCTAAAAAGGGAGAGAAGCCTGAGTCAGATACTTTGTTCTGAGGCAGTTTTCTAAAATGTTTTKCTTCCCTTTCACTGTTTATAATACAATGACTTGTTCTTATTCAATTTGCCACTGGGATGCTGGGATCCAGATAAGCTGTTGATTTAGTACTTCCATTACAATGCTGTCTAAACATGCTATTGAGCTGGTTTGTTGTTTTGGGTTTTTTTTTCCCTGTCTTTAGCTTTTGCTGTATTATACTGCATGCCTGGACATCCTCAGATCCTAGTACATGAACAGGATGAGCAGATGTCAGGGTTTTTAGCTTGTGTCTTCAGGCTGACTGCTTAACCTRTGCTGCTGTTAAGTATGAGATCCCTTCCCACCTGTCTTCCCCTTTTGTTTCTGGGTACTTCAACCCTTGGTTTCTGAAAATTTAAAGGATTTTAATGGTATGATTTGGGATTTCATTCCTAGTGTTTCCTAGCATCCAGCAATATGAAAACTTTCCGGCACCTGGAAAGAAAGAAAATGATTCTCCTTATTTACCTGGCAGCAAAAGCTGTATTTTGCTGAAGTACMCCCATAAAGTTAATGACAGAATTTGAGAATGAGCCTGGTGAGCCAGCTACCAGTTTCCCTGTTGTAAATTAACTTCTGCAAAGAAAAGCAATTTTCTGCTTTGGTGCTGSACCCTGCTCTGGAAGTATGTGGAAGGGCATGATAAGGACATAAGTCTGTGTTTCTCAATTACTTCAGCTGCTCASTGTGCCCTGTTGCATAGAGGGAGGTGATGCTGCTCTGTTAATTCTAGCCAGCTACTGACTTGGCCCTTGCTGGTTTTTCCTAAGGCATCCCTGTGGCCCAATGTCATCTGTGAGCTGCAGACSGGTGTGAAGCTGCGCAAGGCCGCTGAACGACCACAGCATTGTGTGTCTCCAAAAGAACGTATTTGCTCTCCCTATGAGTTACTTTTGGATGACATTCAGCACAGGAGGTACACCCTTCGGAAGGTGAGTGACTGGAGGTAACAGACCACCTTGGAACATCTGCTCTACTTCATTTCTGAGCAGTATATGTTGAGACCTCTTCTCCAAAGGCTTGTCTTTCTCAAAGGTATGTCCAAGTCCAGAAGTGTCTGGGGCTYCCTCTCAGCTCCAACTCAACATTACATCACCCTGTTTGTCCATACAAGTGGATGCTTCCATTTCCAATACTTTTTAAGTTAGGAGTAGCCACAGTTTCATGAAGCTGGATAGTAAACCTCTTCTCCCTCCAGGGTGAGCCATTCCCTTTCCTGTGACACTTACTCTGCCCTGCACACAGCAGTTTCATGGAACAGACTCTTGCTTGTTTGTGCTTTTCACCTTGAACACTTGTGTCCTTCCAGGCTCYTTGAGCTGAGCTGTGCCTGGCATCCTTTACTTGTTGCCTTGCCTTCCCAGATGCTGTGGTGTGTATACAAGTGCAAAAGCACTTTTGAGACAGTTCTTTGCACAACCTCAGTCTGAGGCCTCTAGGCAATGCATTCAGCTACTGCAGGAGTTTAGTCAGGGTAAAAAATGTTGAGGCCCTCTCAGGGAGGGGCAGAGACTTCCAACTTCACCACTTGGTGAAGATGACAGATACAAAAAGGTCTGGGATGTCTCTGAAGGCTTGTGATGCTCTTTGCTTGCTGCAGCTTGAGCTGGTAATGATGAGCAGATCTAAAACCTTGGCACAAAGCCTTGTGGCATTGGTGTGCTTTGAAAACAGACATCTTGGCAGAAGATGAGACACAACTCTTCTTGTAATAAAGAGCGGTATTAGAAAAAGTGAAAACTTTTCATTCTGCACTAGACATCAGGGTTTTTTTCTCTTTGTTGGTGCTGCTAGAATGCAGTAGGTTTAAAAGCTTCAGATAAACCATGTACCTCTATAAACCATGCTCCAGCCTCCTGGTAAGGCTGTCATGTGTTTGGAGATGATRTCTTGGTGGATGTGTAAATTAATAGTATTGGAGACAGTACAGTGCAAGGAATACAAATTAGTTATGATGCACTATGTATCAATGCACTGTGCAGTACAGAACTGTAACTCAAGGTGGCAGGATGATCTGGGTTGTGATTTTCTTTATTTCTTTCCCTATTTTTTTTTGGTTACTTTTTTCTCTGGTTCACAAGAAGCACAAACATGTTTGAAGAGTAGTAGTAAGAAATGCTGAAAGAAAGCTGAGTACTGGTGCTCAGGTCTTTGTAAAGGCTCTTCAACTAGGATTTCCCCATCTGCAAAGCTATTTTAAAGCTTCTCTAGCAAACAGTGGTCTAATTTGCAAATGAATGAAAGCACAGCTATTGTGGGAAGCTGAAGTGTTGTTCTACCTGCACTCCCACGTGTTCTGAAGTTGTACACACAAGTGAAAGTAAATGGTATATAGCCTCAAAATAAGAATAAGTGGACAAGGCAGCTAAAGACATGCATGTGCAATTGACTTTTTTGTCAGCTCTCCCCTATGCAGCAAGCACAGGGTTTGATGCCTCACATGAATATCTGCCCTGCAATTCTATCTTGCTATTGTTCCTAGTTTATGTAGGGCTGTAAGCCAGTCTCTGGGACTCTGGCTTATGCATGCAGCTGCCTGCTGCTACAATTCTGGTTACAGTCCTGTTAACCCGTTCAATTGCTCCTCCCTGGCACTGAAATTTTACTAATTAATATGATGTGACCATRCTGCTTGTCAGGATCACTCCTCACATTAATAACTGAGTAGAGTTTTCTAGCAGCTTCTCAGAGCAGTTCATGAACTGCTGGGGCTAGAAGGCTTTGTGCTTCTTGTGCAAGCCTCTAAGAGCTGTACAGTGCTTCTGATTGCCACAGGCAAATATTTCCCTACCAGAAACCCATGTAAGAAAATGTCATTATTCTTCACTTACCAACTCCTTCTTTTGTTTTGTTTTGTGGGTTTTTTGCGTTTGTTTGGGGTTTTTTTTTGGTTTGTTTCTGGGGTGGGGTCTTTTGTTTGGTTTTGTGTTGTTTTGTTTTTTAATGCCTTCCCCACCTCCCCACCCAATTCCCAAATCCTGACTTGCATCATTCACTGTGGCACAAAATGGCAGGGTGTACAAGGAGTAGAGAAAGAACTATTTCTTAAGCACCACTCTTCTCTTTCAGGTAGCTATCAAGCAAAAACACYCAAGGGCCCCAAAAGTTGATGTAGCTGCTCGCAAGCCTCATCTCAAACCGGTAGGTGACCTGGTGCAGCAAACTGATRATAGCAAAACCAGGTAATTCTGAAGCTGACAGGGCAATTTCAAGGAAAATAAAGCTAGTGACTTAGCTACTGTTTGGATTTGGGAGCGGGTTATATTAACCATACTTAACTTTTGAATAGACCCTGCTGCCAAACATGGTATTAGGAAAATGAGAGTTGATGTCTTTGTAGAAGAAAGATGATCAATCTTCCTACTTCCTCCACTGCTTCTTTAATTTGGAACATTTTGTGGTCTTGAAAGAGCTCCTGGAGCTCACAATTTCAAATTTGAGAGTTGCTAAAGTATTCTACTATGCATAGTCCTGAAGGGTGTCTCATGTTGGGCCCAGTGCACCCTTGGGTGACAAGCACTTGTAAAACAGTGCCATTGCTGATGCAATTGTTCTGTCACCACTCCTGTCCTTGCTCTGTCCCATGGCTCTTTATGGTGCTATGCTTTGCCTGCAGATGGTGAAGGTGAAGGTGAAATGTGTGCCACAGGAGCCCTGCTGGCATGAGCAGCTCATGGCAGAAATAAAACAGCCACCAAAGCTTCGGTCAGCAGCATCAGCACAGAAAAAAGGCAGCAGGCCCAAAGGTACYTGCTAAAGATCAACCCAGCAAGCAAAGAAGTGAAGTCAGCATTGGCTAAAAATAATGGATGGCCTTGGAAATGAAAGCCCACTTATCTTTTCAATAACATTTGTAAGGGGGGGAGAATACAAATTTGCATGATAGAGGTAGTAGGGCATAAGAATAGTTATTTCTAGAAAATCTGTTTGTGGCTTATAAAGACTCAAAAGATATTTCAACTTGCCCTTTTTTTTATGGATGTCACTTAATGGACTGACGAATTTGAACATTACAGGATTTTGACCATTACCTGGGACTAAAAGGTTATGTAACTACCAGGACAAAGCCTGGCTAAATCTCAAATTCCATTGTGTGGGTATCAAATTTGTTGTTTTCTTCTCCCAGCTCAATATCTCGTTTAGTCTGTGAGTATGGGGTTTTTTTTGTTCTCCCTCTCCCCTGCAGAAATGCTTGTGGCATCAGATACTGCCTTGAACTCTCCAAGTGACAGTTTCTTACTTCTCCAAGATGCCAGTAMTGAGTTTAAAATTTCCAACACTAAAACACAGCAGCTGGGACCAGGAGCTCAGGTAAGCCTTTAGGTAAAAGGACTATGGAGAGGCATACACATTTCAGGAATTAGATCTGCGAGAATATATGGATCCTAATGTAGGGAATCTGGTATCAAAACTGAACTAATATGGTACTACTGGTTCACTTTCCTCTACAGAAGCTCAAATCGTATTTAAATGCTGTTGTTTGTGGCATGACTGCAGCCTACAGGTGCTGATCTCTTCTCTCTGACCARTGATAGGACCCAAGGGAATGGYCTGAAGCTGAGTCAGRGGAGGTTTTTGAGTTAGTTATAAGGAAAAGGTTTCTCACCTGCACCTGKGCACAGAAACAGGCYTCCAGCAAAGCAGTCAYAGCACCAAGCCTAACAGAGCTCAAAAGGCAGTTGGATAAAGCTCTCAGGCTCATGGTGTGACTCTTGGAGTTGTTCTGTGCAGGGGCTGGAGCTGGACTCATTGATCTTGTGGGTCCCTCCCAGCTCAGGATATTCTATGATTTTACAGAACCGAGGTCTGCTCTGGTCTCTTCAAACTAGATCCTGCAGAAATTTTGATAGGGAGTCTGGCCAATATGGGCCAGAATATTCCCATTTCTACCTYACAGTGAGACATTTGATGGTAGATGTATTGGAGTATTTTGATTTCACATGGTATGTGAGCTTGTGGAAGAAAAACTTAATGATTTATTTTCAGGAAGCAACTTGATGGATGAATTCCCACTCRTCTGTTCTGTGGAGTTATTTTGGGAGCACCATTCTTCAGTAAACCACAATACACAGTCTTTGGGTTCTTTAACTCTTGGCTCTGTCATGGAAAGCTTGACTGCTTGGTTCTGGAATTCAGTCTGAGCATATTCTGAAATTCTGTGAAACAGAATTTAAGCCCTAACATATCATGTCTAGCACAGATGCTCTGGCATACAAACAGGAATCTGTTTTCTGTAAATATTTCTGTTTGAAATGCAGTTGCTTAACTGAGGAAAATGGATATGAATTAATAAAAGCAGAAATTTTTAGCTATATTTGCCCCAGTCTGTGCTACCTGTACGAATGTTCAGCTTTTGAGAATCTTGTGGTTGATGTATTGCTGCTAAACTAGAAGGGCTTTCATATGGAGACTAAWAAAACCAAATTAGTTTTCTGCTTTTCTAGACAAGGTAAAAAGAATGCTGCTGAGATAAAGCATTGGGTTTGTGTTGAGTTAATGAGTTGGATTAATCACAGTCTCTTGAACTGTTCTTCGGTATTGCTACATGTGAGCTGGAGACAAGAACATGTATTCCATGGGTTGTGTGGGGAGGATGTTGCAAAGTTGGTTCCTGAACAGATGAAACTTTGGTACTAATACCCACACTGGACTTGGGCARGAGAGAGAACAGATGAATTGGAAACTAGTTTGGCTGGAGCTTCCTGGTTGTGGAGTGCAAGGGGAATTAACTCTATATTCCAAGAGGTAATAGAAAGTTCCCAAATGTACTCCATTGGTTTTCCTCTCTGCTCCACTTTTGGCTAAGCCTTGAACATTTCTGCTCAGTCATGGGTATCCTGGGCTTTGTTAGGCAGCAGTACTTCTGATGAAGTGGTCTTGGTGTCTCTTATGTGCAGCTTATGAACATCCTGTCCTCTGCCATACAGGAAACCACTCCCAAGCTGCCTGCCAGTACCTGCCTTCCCTCTGCCCGGCCATCAGGAGCATTCTGCATCAGCACAGGTCAGTGCACTTCTGGCTGCACATCTAAACTGGGGGACAAAGTACACCCAGTGGCCTGATGGGCTCCCAAAGCCTTGGGCTGGGCTCAATGCACCCTTCTCTGATCACCTGAAGATAATTTGCAGGATAAGTTCCAACACTAAACTATGTGTCTGGGGAGGTGCCCTTAGAAAATAATTTCTCTGCAGCTGACTGAAGCTYGCGTAGCTCCTGCAGCTTCAAGACAATGATTGCATGTTCCCAAAGGCCTGACTGGAATTTGTAGTAAAAGCTAAATGAGTGTTTTGAATATTCAAGTAGGAAGTGCACCACTTCATTTTATTAAACTAAATGGTGCTGATGAAGCCTCATCAGTGCCTACTGACAAGCACATTTACTGTAACCTCTGCTTTTTGTGATCTGAGCAGATGGGGTGGAGGGGGAGAGGTGTAAGCCTTGCTACCTTCAGAAGGCAGTGTAGTGCTCATGAGTGTCCAGCTTTCAGGGTGAGTACTTAGATACTGGCAGTTGATTTTCTGCACACTAAAACTCTCTCTTCCTATCCAGGTGTTGCTGCAAATTGCATGAGTGCATCCACACCAGGAGACATTAAACCTAAGTGTTTGCTGAGCACTGGCCAACAGCAGCTGCCTCCTCACAGAGGAAGACGAAAGTCCACATCTTTAGAGAGAGGCCTTCAAAGCAAGAAACTTGTAAGTGCAACATGTCAGCAAGCAACCCTGGTCTGATACATCTGGTAATGACTTGCACCTTGATCCTCATGAGAGCAGTAAGCATGCTATGTGGTTTTTGTCTTGGGACATACTATATACTCATCTGAAGTTGGTTTATTATTCTCTCCTTGGAGTCAGCTTAAGAGAAGAGTGGATGCTGTAGTGTCCTTGTGATAGCTTCCTACTTTGAATGATACAAAATAAAGTTGTTTCTCATACAAGAAGAGAAAAATACCATGTTGTTACTTGAAAGTGTCCATCTGCTTGTTTCCTCAAGCAGACTATAATTGTCAGTGGGACTGTTCTGCTTTCTCCATGTCCCCCATTCTCTCTAGTTTCTGATAAGATCAAAGTGTCTTTTAAGCTGCAGTAAAGGGGAATAAGTTAACAAAACGTGGACAGCATAGCATCAGCGATTTTTAAATGTATAATGYATGTAGAACTGAAGTTATCAGGCTCTGGATGATGGTTGTGGGAGAAATGCTGGGGTTTGTGTTCTTCTGTGCAGCCTTCTGAGTTATGGCCTCACCCTGTTCTGCCCTGACAARGTGTGCTGTGCCCTAGCCTCCTCCTTTCCTTCTGCATTCCTCTTTGCCTCACCTTGACAAGTCTGTAACTGACCTCTCTGCCACCTCCTTATTCAGCAGTGTGGTGGTGCAGATGCAGGTGTGTTGGGGATAAAAGCATGGGTGTCCCTCCTGTCTGACCATCAGACTACAGCTTCCATTGGTGTGGGGCCAGTAGATCTTGGGAAAGAGAAGGCAGGAGAGTGTTGTGCTATGGAAAGGAATTTTGTACCCAGGAGGGGCCAGGGTGCCTCTGTTCTGTGGCCTGTTCAAAAGGACAAATTGCCTCAAAGGAATCTGCTTGAAAACTGWAGCAGCCATGCACCTCTCTGTAGCAGTTTCTCTGCCAGTATTGCCARAGTCACCTGATACTCCTCATCACAGGCAGAATGAGATTTTGCAGAAAAATGCTCCTGATCCTTTGGGACCCAGTTTTTCGATGAMCTCCCCAAATAGCTGCTTTCTTTAACTTTATCTGATATTTAACTTGTGTCTTTCAATAGGACTGCCCCATTCCTACGAAGTCGCCATCACCAACCATTGCTGAGCTGATTGGAACCCGATATGCAATGATGGTGCTGGGAGGGCAAGGCCTCTTCCAAGGAGGGAGTGATGGTGTCTTTCCAAGAGCAAAGGTATGTTTCTTCTCCTCCTCTTCGTGTTGTTCTTGCCTTTTCAAAGGCTGGCTGGTTTCATGGCCTTCAGTGCTGAATTGCTGAAGTATCCTCTGCCTCAGCTTATTCTGTTCATAATAGCTGATTGGAGTTTGGCCCTAGGCTGGAAAAAATTTTCAGTATTTGTGCAGTAATGACTTCTAATCCATCTTAAGATGTRTAAATTGCCTAGGAAGTAGCTCAGCCTTTGCTCGTGTTTTCTTGTCTGATTTCCATATGAGGAGAGCTGACTGCCATGACCAYTGGTCAGCTCTGAAATCTCAAAGTAAATAATTGGGATTTGGTGCTGCTAAACAGTAAAAGGCTCTTGACTGAGGCTCCCACACCTGAGTTGTGCTGACTCAAACCACCTTGGTGAGTGGACATGAAGGTCAGGGAGATGAAGGGGACAGGGAAGGAAGGAGCTGTAGCTCAGGACTGTTGGCTTTTCACACTTCTTGACTTCTGGCTTATCCCCCGAGTCTCCTTTAGAGGGGGTGTTGCAGCCACCCTTCCAGAGCAGATGTCCTGAGTACAGGCCCTTTGTAACACAGATGTGAGGAAGTCTGTTCTTCTTGGCTTATGGGTCATTTTCTTGCCCTCATTTACTTAGCAGTATGGACAGAGTCAAAGGTTCTACTAGCAGAGCTATGCTACTTCCACAAGCTATCTGATGCTCTTGAGACTGAATCCTTGTTTYCTTCCCACCTTACTGACCCTGCTTTAACTGCCTGCTCTGACTATTCTAAAATGGCTTTCTTAGCCGCTCCTGTTTTTTTAGCTTTCTCAAGTTCTGCTTCTCAAGATTGTATCACTTCTGACTGCCAGCTGTGTATGAATGTGCTCTTTTTTTATAAAGTTCAAGCGACTCATCAGCTTCCTTATGACTCATTTTTTGCTTCAGGATTGAATTCAAATTTGCCTTGATTTAATCTCTTTGGGATTGCTGCAGTCTACCTCAAAGAATGTCTCTCTTCTTCCCTCTCTTTTAACTAGCTACTGTTACACTCTTGCACAATACAGCTATTGTTTGCTCAAGAGYCTTTTTTTAAACTCCTGTTGTCTGGCAGCTGCCCCAAACCTCTGCATCATAAAAACACTGGCCTACAAGTAAGATTTTTTTTTCTGCCTTTTTAGCTTTTAATTCCTGTGTCTTTGCTATCCTTTATTGGACCCCTGTTATTGTATACGAATCTAAAGCCTTTAGAAGGTTTGTTTACGTGCTTGCTCTTTGGCAGGCAGTGGATACTGTTGGTACAAAGATATTTCCCATTTGCATTCACAAATAACTTTGCTTTCCACAGATCTGTTTCAGCTGCCATAAGCAGATGTTTCTTAAGTGGCCTTACAACTGTTACCTCTGCAGCAGGTGAGCTGGTACAAAAGGACTGAATGAGGAGRGAGAAAAGAGTGAAAGAACAGTGCTGAGAATACTCAGTAGTCATGGGTTGTGCTACTGGATAGGAACAGGTTGCTGAGCCCTTCAGCTTTGCTTTACTGCACAAGCCAGGCTGAAATGTCTACAGTTGCAGAGGATGTGGAAAATCTTGTCTCTGAAGTAGAATCTCARTTTTAACTCTTAATATTAAGCCAGTATTCCTGTGCCAGTATTAAATTAGTTTCTCTGAGATCAYTCTCTGCATTTTGCTYTAAAGGTTGGATCTRATTTCAGCCAAGRGCTTGAAAAGGTTCTGGGAGAGGGCCTACACTAGAATCTTCTGTTGAGGACTGAAAAAGAGAACTCCAGACCTTGTGAYTGGGAAAGGAGTTGAGCCTACTTGTATCCACTTACTTGTTCATGGGAGAGTGAGAGAGGAACTTCAGGCTCATTAAGGCTCACTTAAATCTATTTGGAGCAGTAGTGAAGCACTGAATTGATTATAAGCAGCAAGTAAACAACTGCTGGAAATTGAGCAACTGTCTGGTGGCAGTGCTGGGTGAAGTGTAATGAGCATTTGCAGATAAAGCTGTGAAGCTATGGATGCTGACACGTTTCAGATGATTTAAACTACCAGAAATAGGAAGGCTGGCAAACTGAATAGGGGAGTTCTAAGCTTGCTCACTTTTTGCCATCAAGTGGTTCTGCTACAATCATGAATTCAGACTTAGAAAAGTAAGACACTTATAGCTGCAATATTGATATCTGAGCTTTACTGAAATGATAATGCTGGAAACTTTTTTCTTTCAGTGTTGTCTGCTGTGACTGCTGCATCAAGGCAAGTCTGACATTTACAACAGCATCTGGGGTTTTTACATTTTCCACTTTCCTTCTCCTCACCTAGTCATAAGAAGCTTTCCTTCATCCCACTGATACCTCAAATCTACCCTCTAACTTGTTCCTAAGAAAATAGAAGAGGGGATAGTCTGAGGTGTAAAATCAGCCAGGATGACATAGATAAATCTTGTCATACTCAGCTAAAACAACTCTGGTTCCTCTTTCTTTCATCCTGTGTAAAGTGGTTGGGATTACACTGTGTTCTATTTATACGAGGGTCAGAAAGTTCACTGCATTAATGTCTACCTTTTAAGTGAACCAATAAATCAATTGCATGCCATGCAAATTGTCCTGCTGAGAAGGATGGTGTGCTTCCCTGAGAACTCAGGTGACTTGTGTTGTAATTGTAGATGTCCATGCCCTTCAGAACATGTGTACATCTCCCACTTCAATTCCTAAAATTTTTGAGACTCTCCAGAGAGGAGGACCCAGCTATTCAAAAACAGAAGAACTCTGATTTGCTACATGAAATAGAGCACTGGCAGTATTTTGGGTAAGCTGGGACAGGGTTGTTCTATTTTTACCTTGAAAATGTCACCAGTTACTTAGGCAAAGCTACAAACATGCAGAGAGCAGTAGGTGGTATTGGGCTGGTCAGGTGATTGTTCTGTTGAATGACTGGTTTAGCCCCTGGTGTAACTAGTCTACAGTTCTCTGGAAGTATTGTGGCTTTTGGATGAGCAAAATGGAGAAGTGTAGGTGCTCTGAAATGCATTTTCCGTTTTAACTATCAGGTTTCTGACATGGRTTTAGAAGTGTCCATATTAGCCCAGACATAGCAGGTTCCTTGCAATAGGTTCATAGTATGAGAATTTCCAGACCCTATCACATTCCATCCCCCACAGCTGGAGGTCTGTCACTACAATCCAGGAGTAGCCCCTTTTATACCTAGACATGAAGTGCCCTAATTGTGTCTCAGGTATAACTGAATAAAGAGCAATGCTACAAATGGTTTCTCAGTCCCTCCACATACATACAGACACCCAGGAAATGAATGATTCCAGAAAGAGCTTTTGACAGTTCTGGGTGAAAAAGACAGGCCACATGCATGTAAKTGCAATATCCAGGACTGAGACCATACATTCTCTTCTCTGTTCTCTGCTTTCCAAAGCAGTTAAATTTTCTACTGGGGGAACTGGCAGCTCGTTTTTTTTCCTCTGAAGCCATTCTTTAATGTAGCCTGAATAAAGTCACAGTTTCTGTGGCTTGTACTTCAGTCACTGAAAATCAGGAGTAATGTTCATTGCTGAAGTTAACTGCATGGGGCAGGCAGTGGTTTGGTYTGTGTTGTAATGCAAGGGCTGCAGAAGAGGCCTGAGATGCTGCRTTACTGCCATACTTCAGGATGGCAAAAACAATCCTACTGCATGAGGATGCAGCCATAGGCTTGGATCAGATATGGACATCCATTAGCCCTTTGGCTGACACACTGTCAGTAGAGAGAAGGTGTCAGTAAATGAAGCCATTCTGGTGCTTTTTAGCCTTTCTAAGTGGTGCTGATGGCTCTTTTGAACCTCTGCATTTAGCTAAATTGCTTAGCAGCCTGGGAGAAGGGTGSAGGAGCACCATGCCCTCTAACAGAAACCTAGGTCATCTTTCCTGCCTTTCTTTTTCCCTCTCCCTCTCCAGTGTACCCATTGTTTTGGAGCCCCATTGCCTAGCACAACCTCTGTGCCGTTACACAGGGACCATGGCAGACTGGCTGACTGCAGACATCTGTACACGGTGTGAGAAATATCTGTTGAATGTGGCTTCCAGTCAACAGCACAGCATCCCTCTCAGGCGAATTTCCTGGGCTTGAACCAATCTGSAATGACTGGACCCTACATTTCTCCTGTCACTTGTTCTGTACCTGAAATAAATGAAACAGCTTATGCACCTACTGACATAAAGGCCTGAAAGAAAGACCTCCCTGCTGGTTAGTTTAAGCAGGAAGCACAGTTAGTATTTCTGTATTGTGAAGTATTCTAAAGCTTTGTGGGTTTTAGAACTGTTTTAATTCTTTTTATGTGTCTTGGGGAAAATAAATGCTGAAGCACTATCAAGCCTCTAGCATTTCTTTCTTTGCACCTGCAGTTGTCATTGTTCTGTGGTACTGTTTGCATTCATTGCTGAACAGACTTCATGCAATGTGCTGAGCAGAGGGAAACTTTTAACCAAAAAAACACATTTCTGAGAGGCTTGGAAAGTGGCACTCTCAGTTATGCGATCACATCAACATCCATTCTGCAAACACTCCTTCCTGATAACTCACAGTGCTTAAAGCTCACTCCTTTGATGCATGTAACACTAGTGATGGCTGATTTGATTTAGGAAGATTTTTTTGGTTTTTGTCTGTGCACTATTATGCTTTGGCACCAGAGCTTTCTCTGCATCTCACGATAGTACCTATTCTATCTCAATGCTGTCATCATCTGAAGGACAGAGGGCTGTTCTTGAGAGATTCTTACGATAGCACCTATTCTATCTCAATGCTGTCATCATCTGAAGGACAGAGGGCTGTTCTTGAGAGATTCTTACTCTTTGCCATAGAATAAACTGTACTATTGCAACATTTCATAGWTTTTTTTTTCTGTGTATTTAAAACAAAAAATGAGATATTTGATAGTATATTTATTTATCCCCAGGAATTGCCTGTGTGGAAGGGATATAGAGCTGGATCAAGTTTGCCATGGTGCATTTTGCAGGGCCTGGATAGACAGTGTTAAAGGATACAATGGACTTATAGCTGGAATGAGTCATGGTGAAGAAAATAAAGGCTGGGAAGGGCCAGTTCTTGATAGATGAGAAGGGAAGAAAGACATGTTTGAGCTGAGCCCAAGGTCTGCATCCAAACTGCCAGGAGGGTCAATACCTCCMGCTGCCTTGCAGTGGCCTGACTCTGCTTCCTCCCAACTGCCTGGCTGCAAGCTGSTGCCTACTTGCAGGTTTGGGCAAGCTCTGCAAGTAAATGAATGTGGGGAAGCTGGAGCTTGTGCTTCCTTTTGGAGCAAGTTCAAGTGTTCCTCTTCCTTCAGTCAATTAGGAGGGGTGCAGCCTGCCTGCCCATCCTCTCCTGTATGTGCCAGGGGCTGGTGCTGCTGCGAGGCACATCCTTATCAGGCAGGTGGGCTCCTGGCAGGATGCAGGGAATGGCAGCCAAGCCGCAGGTGCTCTTGCTGGCAGGATGGACACAGAGTGGGGCCAGGGGCATGAGGCRCTCTGGGACGCCTGCTGAGTGAGGTAATTTAGAAAGAGCCAGAAATGAGCTGAGATCAGCCTGTTTTGTGTAATGTGTGAGCCCAGAATGCTGCCCAGAGCCTGGGTGCAGCAGCAGGGAGGGAAGGTGTCCGTATGGCATTGAGGCAGACTTCAGTTCAGCTTTGGAGCAAAGGGAGTTCTTGGTTCCATCTCTTGCACATCTGTTGTGGGGTCCCATGGATTTGTTTCACTGTCCTTCCCTTTCCCTTCCTTGTGACCATGACAGAGGAGATGAAATGCCCTCACTTGCAGGACAGGCAAAGCGGGGGGAGGGTGGGTTGCACTGAGGGGCAGCCTGACCTTTCCTGTCTTCCTGTCCTCATCTAGCACGCCAATGGGATAACCCATGTTCCCATCATTCCTCTYAGCGACACTGGTTGCAGTGGCCACGGGACAGTGGCAGTAAAACCTCTGTCCCCTGTGCCCGAGTGACCTCTGGGGCTCCCTCCCGGCCGAGCCGGGACAATCCCGTCCGCCAGAGGGCAGCGGCGGGCCGCGCCGCCCACAGCCGGGGCGGCAAAACAGGGACACCTCGAAATTAACAGATCGACCTCAAAAAAAATAGATTTCCCTAAAAATAACATATATTTCCCTCAAAAAATAAAAGAAATTTTACCGTCCTCATTTATTTTATTTGATCTTGTCCATACCGTGGCACTTGCCCACTCTGGGGAAAGTCCCGCTGGCAGTCAGGGCCTGGGTGACGGCAGTGAGGAGGCGAAGGTGAGGGGGAAGGTGAGGGTACATGGGTCAAAGACRGCTGGGACAGAGGCACAGCAACATAAAAAGGAGGTTTTAAGGTGGAAGGGAGAGGCAGGAGAGGCCTGACTGTATTAACATCATGTGGCTGGCAGACTAGGTTGGTGTTTGCTGCTTGAAAGCAGCTGGGGAAATGTGCTCTGGTAGAATCACAGAATGGCTTGGGTTGGAAAGSAYCTTAAARAACACCTTGTTSCAACCCTCTGCCATGGGCAGGGACACCTTCCACTAGATCAGGTTGCTCCAAGCCCCATCCAGCCTGGCCTTCAACACTTCCAAAGGAGGGCCACAAGGATGGTGAAGGATCTGGAGAGAAAGCCTTATGATGAGTAGCTGAGGTCGCTTGGTACAAACTGCTTGAATAACCTCACCCAGGGCACCGCTGCCAGCACCTTCTTGTCCAGGTTAAAGCTGGATTTGAGTGGGGTTTTGCCCTACATGACATTCAGCTTGGCTTAAATTTTTTGTTTTGTTCTGTTATCATATAGGGACTTCATATTTCACACGTGGAATAAAACCATAGATATAGTGTTGGGCTGGGTTCGATTTAAAAAACCATGTGGGCAAATTGGGGAAATGGTCTGGAAGAAACAGGAGGCAGTTGAATACGGAGAAGTTGRAGGTCGTTCACTTGAGCAACAATATGAACTCCCATAGTACAGAGGAGGGAGTGATGGGTTAAGTAGCAATTCTTCAGAAAAAGGATCAAAAGCTGAATGCAAGTCAGCTATGTCATGGTGTTGAGGTGATGGAAAATAAGTTAAGGGGAGATGTGGCGTAATTGGATCCAGCCCAGCAGAGAGCAGGGACAACAAGAGGAAATGGAGAAATCATTACCTACCAGGGAAGCCTGAAAGAACTGAAATTCTCTAGCCCAAAGGASGAGAGAACTGAAGTCTTTAAGCACATAAAAAGGATAATCATAGCTCCTTGTCTGTGATGGAGGAGAGGGRRRAAAAAAAGAAAGAAAAAAGAAGGCTTAAGTCACAGCAGGAAAGGCTCAATTTAGATGTTAGGAAAAACTTTCTAATGACAGGGATAATAAAGAATAGACTGCCTAGGGAGTGGAGAGCTTTAAGATCAAGTTAAGCAACATCTGTCAGGGATGTCCSAGGTTTAGGTGATCCTGCCTGGGTTAGTGGAATGGACTGGTCTGACCTTTCAAGGTCCCTTTCAGCCCTAATTTTTCAGTGGTTCTGCGGGCTGACATTAATCTTCTTAATGGTATTTAAACAGTCAGCAGCTTCTCTTAAGTAACTGCTAGCAAGTCTCTTCTCTTGCCTGCGGTTTAAAATTAACTTAATTTCCMTGCATCACTTTCGCCCTCCAGCTCCCAAGTCCTGCAAAGCGAACCAGCAGCTGAATTCCTTGAGTGCCTGTCAGTACCTTCCTTGTGGCTCTGTAGCTATCCATGATAAAACAGAAAGGATAGAAATGCTGCACATTGGTGGCTWTGGCACCAGTGTGAGGGTGCCTTCCTTTTCTGCATTTATATGCAGGAGATATGGTCCCCCTGCTTGAGATAGCCGGGTCTCATACATGGTTATTTCATTTTGTGCACTCCAGGGACCTGCCTTTCCATGTTGCCTGCAGCCTTCAGAGGGAGCTTGTCTTGCCCTGCCTCTGGCCAAGACTGGCCTGTTTCTGAAAGGAATMATCTCARACCAYGGGYCTTCATTGTCAGTTTGTCMTGGGGTTATGGAGCACAGTTCTTAYGAGGAGCAGCTGAGGGRGCTGGGAGYGTTCAGCCTGGAGAAAAGGAGGCTCTGGGGGACCTTATCACTCTCTACAACTACCTGAAAGGAGAGTGTAGATGGGTGGGAGTCAGTCTCTTCTCCCAGGTTAMAAGTAACAGRACAAGAAGAAATCACCACGAGAYGTTTAGATTGCATATGGGAAAAACTTCCTTCACTGRAAGGGTTSTSAGGCCCTGGAACAGGCTGCCCAGGGAAGGGGCAGARTCACCATCCCTGGAAGTRTTCAAAAACCCTGTGGATGTGGGACTTGGGGACATGGTTTAGTGTTGAAYGTGGTSGTGCTGGGTTAATGGTAGGACTCYGTGATCTTASAGATCTTTTCCAACCTTAATTCCATGGAACTTAATTCCATGGCTCTATGCTAAGATCTGAGTGTCCAAGCCCAGAGACTGCCCAAGATGTGTGAAACTTCTGTGTAACAATGTGTACAACAACAGGCACTGCAATTCATAYATTGTCCACAGGTGATCTCTCTTTAAATGGCTCAGACTCCAGAAGGAAGAAGTCTGAAGCTGGCCCTGGGGCTGGGGGCCCCTGAAGTTGCTAATGAAGGTGAATTATRTTTTTCATCTGCCAGTAACATGGTAGGAGGGAGAGAAAAAGCCAGGCCATGATGAACAGTATCTGGTCCTTGCCTTGGGCAGTTGGAAAACAGGAGTGTGTCCTGAAGGCAGGGTGGCTGCAACTGCTTAGCATTTTGTTAAAACCAGAAAAGATGGCATTTCCATAGCAGGGAAAGACTGTCCCAAAGGAGAGAGGGAACCACTGCCTGGAATTCCTCACTTTAGGAAAATAACTCTCTGCCAGGCACTGAGCTGCACATAATGGGATTGTGAGGGGGTGCCACTGCTCAGTGTGACCATGAATAATGGGTGAATATGGCACCAAGAGGATCACTGACCCCATGTCAAAGCTAGGAGATCAGAGATAGAGAAGATAGCCATAAACCAAAACTGGTTATCCAAATTCAGGAGATTATAAGGCTTCCAAACCTTCCTTGCATACTCCTTAGTTATCTACCTAAACCAGAAAGGGTTTCTACATTTCTACAGCTGAGAAATGTCATCCCTAATGAGAGATCTCTAATGAGAGGGAAACACAAATATCTACCCACAGAAAAGCAGTCACAATTTCTCTCACTAATCTTACCCAGAGGTTTAACCAGCCAGGATAACTGTGGGCCCCATACATAGGCCTTCACATTTGCTTTTGTTAACAGAGCCAGACCTGTCTTATCTCTGCATGACAAGCATCAAGAACRTTATTTCATACGTGTGAGTAACGTCGAAAGAAGCGGTGTGGCCACCTCAGCAGCAGGTTGGAACACAGACCCTTTCACTCTGGGCTCTGAGCTCCTTCTTGCAGACCCTGCTGCCAGCCCCCA